GGGGGGGGGGGGGTCATGTCACGCTGCCCCCGCCTGTTGGCTGCAGCCCTGAGTGCTGGCCGCCCTGGTGCTGCTGCAGGTGGTGCCACAGGTATCACTCAGCCCTGGCTGTTACCCAGCTCTGACGCCTCAGAGGGACCCGGGCTCTCAGCGGGCACCTGCTGGCCTGGCGATGTCCAGCCCGTGAGGCATGGGGTATGGTTTGTGTAGGTGGAGGCAGCGCAGAAGGAGGTCCTGCAGCTGAGGAGCAGGTGTGAGGAGCTGCACCAGAAGAACCTGGAGATGGGGTGAGGCCTGCGGGGAGAACCTGGAGATGGGGTGAGGCCTGCGGGGAGAACCTGGAGATGGGGTGGCGGAGGTGGAACAGCACGGCTCTCAGCCACACATCTGCTCCTCCCACAGGAAGGTCATGGACGGGTACGAGAGCTTCATGTACCAGGCAATGGGTAAGCGGGAGCCTGTGGGCTCCTCTTTCTAATAGCAGCTCCCGCCTTGGCCACCACAGCCCTCAGCCGTAGAGCAGCCAAGACCAGTGCAGATGCAGCTGGGGTCAGGGAGCCCGGGTCAGGCTGTGGGGCTGACTCTTGTCGGCCCCCAAATTGGCCAGAACCTGAGCTCTGTGTGTCCAGCTTCAGCCTCTGGGTGTGTCCAGGCTGAGGCTGGAGGGTGGGAGCACTTGCCTCCACCCAGGAAGGGACTCAGGCTCCAGAGGCCCCCATATGTGGGCACAGGGTCATCGCAGGCTCTGCTGTTGGTCCCTGGGTTCATGTCCAGCCCCTTGGGCTCCGGTGGACCTAATGTTGAGGAAATGGCTGTGTTCTGGGCACTTGTTCCCCCAGATGTTGCTCTGGGAAGACAGGGTGGGAAGGGGCTTTGTCACCTTCCTCTAGTGGGACCTTGGCATGTTGCGGCTGACGCTGCCCACCTCTTCTCCATCTCACTGCCTCCTGCTCTGGGTCACTTGTGGCACCAGTGTGGAGGCTGCCCCCCTAACCTTACGTGTTTCTCTCTTTTCAAGAGGAGGCTCAGAAACAGCAGGACCTTGCCAAAGCCGAGATCCAGAAGGTTCTGAAAGAAAAGGAGCAGCTGACTGCGGATCTGAACTCCATGGAAAAGTCATTCTCTGACCTCTTCAAGCGGTTTGAGAAGCAGAGGGAGGCGATCGAAGGCTATCGTACGGTAGGTGGGGCTGTGCCGCCTCCTGCAGTGGGACCCAGCTGGGCTCTCTGGTGTCCCTACCTTGTAATGGCCTAGTCCCAAGCCCATCGGGCAGGAGGCAGCTCTCCCCACCGCATCCTTGTCCCTTAAACTTGGCAGCCGGCTGAGCCTTGCCCTGCGCCAGGGCTGTGAGGCCAATCTCATCGGTGGGCCTAGGGTGGGGTGGGAGTGCTGTCAGTCTGGGGAGGCCTGGGCATGTGAGCAGAAGAACTGTAGGGCACAGCCTGGAGGCAGGACCCTGATGGTACAGTGGATGCCCTGATGACAGTAGGCACCCACGGAGCCAGCTGCTGCCTTCTGGAGGAGGGCCTGGCCCAGTTCAACCTCAGGGGCCCCCTGGGTGGGGGCAGCAGGAGCCCCGGCCACAGAGAGGGCTGCCAGGCGAGGGATAGGTCTGTTTCCAGGCAGGCTGAGGGGCCAAGAGGTAATGGTGGCCAGAGGAGTAGGGGGTCAGGCCTGGTGTCCAGGGATGGGGAGGCCTGGGCTGTGTGTGGAGGGACCTTTTTCAAAAAACAGACAGCAAGTGCAGCTTCCCTGCGGCTTTCCTTGTCTGAGCTGCTGCTTCATGAACATCCCAAAGAGCCTGGACAGGGACCTGTCCACACCCGACCCTGGGAACCGTCTCCCAGAGGTGCAAACTGGCAGCAATAACGCACCTCTCTCCTTAAAGAATGAAGAGTCCCTGAAGAAGTGTGTTGAGGGCTACATTGTCAGAATCCAGAAGGAAGGCCAGAGGTACCAGGCGCTGAAGGCCCATGCGGAGGAGAAACTCCAGCTGTGAGTATGGGGAAGCCATGGGCAGCCGGGAGAGGGAGGAAGGTGAGGCTGACCCCGCCCTTTGAATGTCCAGGGCCAACGAGGAGATTGCCCAAGTCCGGAGCAAGGCCCAGGCGGAGGCAATGGCCTTCCAGGCGAGCCTGAGGAAGGAGCAGATGCGTGTCCACTCGCTGGAGAAGACCGTGGAGCAAAAGGTGGGTGCGGGCCTGAGGGACAGCCCTTCTGGATGGGACCTGCCCTGTCCCAAGGCCCTGTGGCCTGCTGGATCCCAGGCCAGGCCACTGTGCTCCTCCCAGACTCCTCTCAGGCCAGGCCAGGTGCCAGCTGAGCCCCTGCTACCACGACTGAGCACTGGGAGACCGAGGGGTTTGACATTTCTCCTTCAGACTAAAGAAAATGACGAGCTGACCAGGATCTGTGACGACCTCATTTCCAAGATGGAGAAGATCTGACGTGGGGTCCCCGCCTGTGCCCACCTGCCCTCCTGTCTGTCTGTCTGCCTGTTAGGTTGCATGTTTTTCCTTCTCTCCTAATTTCAGCTTATTTTTAAACTAGGTTGCTTTAGAAACAAGACTAAATAAAGTTTCCTTTGAGTTCAGTGCTGAAGTCGCTCTGTTGATGAAAACAAAGGTTTCTAGCTGTGACTGAATCTTCCACAGCCGCCGTCACCCACCATGCCCTTGGTCCTTGCCCCGCCAACACCTCAGCTGCCAGGTGGGCAGGCATCCTACTTCTGTTCAGTCTGCCTCCTGACCGCAGGTCAGAGTCCAACGGACCAAAGTTTTAATGTAAAAACGGAAACACACAAGGGGATGGTGGGCCTGTGTTGCCGGGCAAGGCTGCAGCCTGAGGTCAGAGCACTCCCTGAGGTGTGGCTGAGGGATGTGGAGGCCAAGGCTTATTCACACCTGGCCAGCAGTGTCCTGGCTGCTGCGGTGGCCTCGTCCAGTCCCTTGAAGCTTAAGAGGAAGGAGGCCTGTCTGCCCCGCGGACTTCAGGTTCCCCAGCTGGGTCCACAGCCGCCTGAGCCAGTGCTGCCAGATGAGGCTCGTAGGAGACGGGTTCTATCCAGCAGCTGGGATGAGGTCTCTGGCTCTGCTCTGAGAACCCCGACCAGAGCAGATGTTTGCAGCTGTGACAGGAGTTCTGAAAGCTCATAGAAAATGTCTGAGTGGACGTCTGGGTCCAGTGGGCATCAGGCTGCATACCAGGGCCTGCTCAGAGGAGCCTGTCAGACATGCTTGCGTGACCCTTGGACCCTTGGTCCCTCTTCCAGGACCATGTTGTACAGGGCATGGGGCCCAGAGGGGGTGCACTTGTAGGGTGGTGGTGAAGCCCTGGAACAGGCACAGGCAGGAGGAAGGCAGCCCTAGGAGCCCTTCTGAGCAGGGCAGAGGCTCAGCCTGCAGGGACATCACAGGGCCCAGCCCCTGGATGCAGATGGGCATAGAGCTGGCTGGTCCCTGGTCGCAAGATGAGACGTGGCTCTGTGCCCTGGAGCCGTGTCTGCACCCCTGTGCCCCCCAGATCCAGCTGGAGGGCACAGGGCTCCTTCGTGCTGAGCCAATAGGAATGGGCAGGCCGAGCTCTGCATATCTAACTGCTCCCAAGTGAGGCTGGTGCTGCTGGGCCGAGACCTCACTGCTCCAGGGAGTGACCACCACCCAGACGGGGCAGAGGCTGTGCTCAGGCTCAGGCCTAGGGGGAAAATCACCAAAGGGGTATTTTCTCGTCAATGGGAATGGGGTCCCTGGGCAGGTCCCATCTGAGACCTGCCCAGTCAGACCTCCCATGAGGGCCGAGTTTGGAGGTTTGGACCAGCTTCTGAACTTGACTGTGACCAGCCTGAAGGTGGGCAGTGGTGATGCGCCTGGCTGCCACCAGGGGGTGCTGCTGGCCACTGGCCGCTGTGCAGGGTCAGGACCCTGTGGTGACGTCCTGGCTGGGGACGCGCTGTGGCTCTGGCTGGCCAGTGGGCATCCCAGACTCCGCAGGTGGAGGGTGTGTTTGTTCTCAGCACATTTTCAGGAGAGTGCCTGGTATGGGGACAGAAGGCCAGGCTGATGGCAGGAACCTAGGGGCCGCTCTGCTCCCTGCTCCCCGTGGCCCCCTGTGCTCCAGCCCTGTGGTCTCACCCCTGTGGCAGCTCCTGTTTGCCTTCAGGGCCCCTGCTGCTCCCACTGTCAGTACAGCCTCGGGAGGTCCTTTTATGAGCAGAGTCACTTCCCTCCTGGCTCAAGGACCAACCTGCAGTGGCTCCAGCTCCAGGTGTAAGTGCCAAGCCCTCAGGCCTCCAGCCAGATGCTGCCCCAGCCCTCACTTCTCTGCTTAAAAGCCACTTCTCAGGAGGGCTTCCTTGACACCCTCACCCGAACCAGCTGATCCAGGGCACTCAGGCCTCAGCACAAGTGTTCCCCCTCCAGCCGGCATTCCAGCCGCCCAGGCTGACCCTCCAGCCTCCCTGCTCAGGGCTCTGATCCTCTATGGCCCTTGTCCTGTGCAGAGTGGTCGGTTTAGGGGGACTCACCCCCAGGAAGGCACCCCTCAAGAGCGGACGTGATATCACAGGATGTGTGTCTTCAGCTTTACCAGGCCCCAGGTGCTGGCTGCAGGGGTGTGGGAGATGGGTTGAGACCCTCCAAGGCAGGCCAGAAACCCCAAAAGTCCTACTCAAAGCAGAGCTCTGGGCCCCTTCCCTGGAATGACCCAGGCTCCTGCCCTCCACATGTAGTCCCTCACCCCAAAGTGATAACTACTTCCCTTCCCTCACCCCCATTGAAGCACCACCCCACCCCTGGCACCCCTTCCATTCGCCCCTGGACAAGAACCTATCCACTCTCTGCACAGGGACCCCCCACCCTACCCGCCGCCCTAGACAGAAATGGAGCTGAGAAGCTCAGGGGCCTTCAGGAGCCTGCCAGGGCCCACATCACAGGCAAGAAAACAGACACATGGGAACAGTGACCATGGCTGGGGAGAGGTGGGACAGGGTGCCTGGGGTTGGGTGGGACGGCGGGGAGGAGGGGGGCCTGCAGCCTCTGGGCTCGCCTGCTGCCCCGCTGCCCCGCTGATCCTCAGCGCCCCCCCCTGCCCTTGCCACACCTGGCAGAGGGCAAGCGGCCACGTGGCCTCAGGACTGCCCCTTCTGCTGCAGTCAGGGCTGCTCTGAAGGGCCCTGGAGGGACATCGTCCTCACCCAGCTCTGCCTGTCTGGCCTCTCTGGCCACTCTGAGAACTGCCCAGTGCCCTGTCTCCAGCTGGGGCCTCTGAGCCAGACCAGGACTCCTGCAGAAGGCCACTCAGGGCGGCTGGCGGCGCTAAGGCCACAGGCCGGGGGGCAGCGTCCTGGGCCGGGAGCCTCTCTGGGACAAAGGGGCCTTGTGCGGCTGAATGGGTGTTTATCCTGGAGCCCGAGTTAACTCGGGGCCGTGAGGCCAGGCGGGGGCCCTGGCACTGGCCTCCCGCAGGTAAACATGACCGGAGCTGGGCATTCAGCAGCGGCCTGGACTCCTGCCCCCTGCATTTCCTGCGCATCGACACACCAGCGTCATGGGGCCTCCCGCCAGAATGGGGACGTGAGGAAACAGGGAGGGGGAAGCTGTCCTGGGGGCATGATTCCGGGTCCCCATCACTGAGCAGCGAGACCTTGTGGACTGAGCCCCCAAGGGCTGCCTCCCAGGCTCAGGGCTGATCCCTGCGCACAGGAGGTGAGGGTCGCTGACCCCCTGCCCCCTGGTGTGGTGGGCCTGGGAGCCAGAACTTGGGGACCTGGACCAAGGCCCCGCCAGCCTCGACTGAATTTCTGTGTTCCCCCAAATTCATGTCTTGAAGCCCCGGCCCAGTGGGATGAGATGTGGAGGCGAGTGGGGTTAGGTGAGGCCATGAGGTGGGGCCCTCTGATGGGACCCGTGCCCTGCTGAGACCAGAGCACCCTCTCCTCTGTGTGAGGATGGCGACAGGCTGCAGGCCAGGACGCGGCCTCACTGAAACCGAACTGACTGCCACCTTGACGGTGGACGTCCAGCATCCAGACTACGGGAAATAAATGCCTGTTGTCCGTGTTTTTATGTTACAGCGGCAGGTGCTGACGAAGGCAGCCACGAAGACTGTGGCTGCCACGCCCAAGGCCACCCACTGCCCAGCTGTCCTCCCTGGGCTGTGGCCCACGAGGGCTCCAGCCCTGGTGGAGAAGCCTGGGTCTGTGGGGCATCACTGCCCATCCCTCCCCTCTGGGGCTGAGTGCACGCTGGCACCTCCCCCATGTCTCCGTCCAGCCAGTCCCTCAGTGGCCTGGGGCTGCCAGCCACGTGGCTGAGTCACCACAGGGGAGGACCCGCTGGTGATGTTTGTGCCCATGTGTGCCCTGGGAGCACTGGGCTCATGTCCCTTGTGTCCCTGTTCAGGATGTACCAGAGCGAAGGCCCAGCAGGCCGCTACGCCACTCAGGAGGCAGGAGCATCCCCATAGCAGCTGGGGCTGGAGGAGGCCAGAGGACAGGGCCTTTGGCATGCACATCCTGGCCCTGGCTCCTAGTGGCCTCCAGACCCTGGATCCCAGGACCCCTGTGCTTCCCTGGCCCCAGCTCTACTGACCCCCAAGTGCCCCACCCCCAAATTCTGAGGCCCCGAGCCACTAGGGCCAAGCTGGCTTTGTTGAGCTGGGAGGCCTGCAGGGGGCACCGATGAACCGGTCAGAGCCTCTGGCCCAGAAGCAACATGTCCAGATGTCCAGCCCCGCCTCCTGTGCAGGGGTGGGAGCGGGGTCTCCCAGACCCCCACGCTGGAGAATTGAGGGATGGCCTCCACCCGGACCTCATGGAGGCCAGGCTGCCACTGTAGGTACGATGGGTGGGGAGCGCCCAGGCCCAGGACAGCACCATCGCCGGCTGAGGCTCTGGGCAAGCCTGGGGTGGGGCTGCAGGGCAGGGTCTTTGACCAGGTCCAGGACCCTCCCTCCCAGGCCCAGCCCTTGTCCAGCAGTGTTCTGGGCCACCCCCTGGTGGGGTGGACACGGCGCCCTGGCCCTTTGAAACGCCAGCCAGGCCCAGGTGTGATGGGCTCATGGCCCCCCCTCTGCCGTTGTTCAGGACTGGGGAGGACCCTCAGAAACACCCCTGCCCCAGCCTGGCCCTGGGCACTGAGCTGGAAGGTTCGCCGGTGTCTGTACAATGAATGAATGAGTGGACGGATGGATGTGCTGCCCCAGGAGTGCCCCCCAGGCCCCTCTCTCCAGGGCAGGGGGTAATTTGAGGGCATTATGCCCCCTGCAGGCAGCGAGTGGGATAAGAGGACATTTGAAGAATGAATGAATGGAGTGAACCAATGAGCAAGGCTGTGCCCAGCATGGGGGTGCCCATGTCCCCTCTCCTGCACCTCCTTCCTTGTCCCCCCACACCCGCTCCTTAGCCCTGCTGGCACCAGCTGGGCCCACCCCAGGCTGGGCTCCCAGGGGCCAGGCCCACTCTGCAGGGGGCAGAGATGGGGGCAGGGGGGCTGTGGGGAGGGCTGTGTGTTTATTTTTGATAGGAGAGTGTGCGAGACAGTCGGCCCAGAGCCTCGGGCCCTGGAGAAAGGGCTCCTGTGTGTGGGCAGAGGGGCCCGCCTGGGGCACTGATGCCGGGTGGGG